TCCCCTCCCCTCCCCTCCTCCACCCACAGCTTCCCGGCCGTGGGGGTCCCGGTCGCCCCTAGCCGCCGGATGGAGGATGGCCATTCATTGGCCTGGTGGCCTTCCTCCCTTGAATCCTCATTTCCGGGATCCTTGTTTGTTTGTTTGTTTGTTTATCCATCTGTTCCAGAGATAAGAACAAGTGTGCACGTTTTATAAATGCATATCTGCAGTATTTACATGTGCATTATTTTATACATGCATATATATGCACATGTTATATGTGTGTGTCTATGCGTGCATATCTATCTATCTATCTATCTATCTATCTATCTATCTATCTATCTATCTATCTATCATCTTCCTTTATATATAAAATATGGCTAAATAGGTATATTTTGTATGTGTCTCTGCATGTATATATGTAGGGTATATAAAATATGCCTATATAAGTATATTTTATATATATGTGTGTGTGTGTATATGTAGGATATATAAAATATGCTTATGTAGGTATATATTATCTATATGTAAGTGTGTGTATGTGTACGGTATATAAAATATGCCTATAAGGTATATTTTATATATAGGTGTGTGTGTGTATGTGTAGGGTATATAAAATATGCCTATATAGGTATATATGAAATATATGTACAGTATGTGTTTGTGTATATATAGGGTATATAAAATATGCCTGTATAGATATATTTTATAGGGGTCTTTGTGTGTGTATACATATATAGGATGGATGGATGGATGGATGGATGGATGGATGGATGGATGGATAGATAGATGAGAGCCAGTTTGGTCTAGTGGTGAAGGCACCAGGCTAGAAAGCAGGAGGCTGTGAGTTCTAGTCCTGCCTGAAGGCATGAAAGTCGGCTGGGTGACTTTGGGCCAGTCCCTCTCTCAGAGCTCATGACATGTGGTGACAAGCCAGTCAGTTCATTCCCATCGCAACCAATGGACCAACATTTGGTTGATCTGAAAAAAGCAGACCCTGCAACTGTGGGAAAACGCTAGGAAGAAAATTTCATGTAGCTCACTTGTGGTACCAATGAAATTCTCATGTCAGGAAATCTATGAGAATATGGCAGTAGGCCCTACTGTTTGACCTACTGATTATTTTGTGTCTGTTTTGCTTTAGTTCGTTTATTTTATGCTACTCTGTTTATATAAATTATATAAAATTATATATAAAAATAGATATTGAAGGCCAATAACAGTAATGTAGGGAGGCTTTGACCAGCATATTATAATTCAGCTTCTTTTAGTTCAGTCCCATTTTCAAGTCTGCCCTTTTCATCCATCCTTTGATCCATTTATTTCTCTTATGTTTTAAAGCCTTTAATCAGAAATTATTGCCTAATGAAGTAGTTTTATTAACTACATTTTAAAGCAACCATTCATAGTGCATCACTTTCATATAGCTTTT